GCTGAGTGTGGTGACTCATGCCTGTAATCTCAGTAATTTGGGAGGCCAAGGTGGGCAAATCACATGAGCCTAGGAATTCAAGACCAGCGTGGGCAACATGGTGAAACCCTGTCTCTACGAAAAATAGGAAATTAGCTGATGTGGCGGCACATGCCTGTAGTCCCAGCTATTTGGGACGTTGAGGTGGGAGGATCACCTGAGCCCAAGAGGTCAAGGCTACAGTGAGCTGTGATCATGCCACTGCACTCCAGCCTGCGGAGTGACAGTGTGAGACTCTCTCTCAAAAAAAAAAGTCACTTGCCGGGTGTAGTGGCTCATGCCTGTAATCCCAGCACTTTGAAGGCCAAGGCGGGTGGATCACCTGAGGTCGGGAGTTCGAGACCAGCCTGACAAACATGGAGAAACCCTGTCTCTATTAAAAAATACAAAAGTAGCTGGGCATGGTGGCGATGCCTGTAATCCCAGCTACTCCAGAGGCCGAGGCAGGAGAATCTCTTGAACCTGGGAGGTGGAGGTTGCCGTGAGCCAAGATTGCACCATTGCACTCCAACCTGGGCAACAAGAACGAAACTCCATCTCAAAAAAAAAAAAAAAAAAGTCGCTTTAAGAGATATTTGTTGTTTTCTCTTTAGTTAGAACTTTGTTGTTGTTGTTGTTGTTGTTGTTTTTGAGATGGACTCTTGCTCTGTCGCCCAGGCTGGAGTCTACAGTGGCATGATCTCGGCTCACTGCAACCTCCGCCTCCCGGGTTCAGGCGATTCTCCTGCCTCAGCCTCCCGCATAGCTGGGATTATAGGCATGTGCCAACAATACTGGCTAATTTTTTTTTTTTTGAGACGGAGTCTTTGCTCTGTCACCCAGGCTGGGGTGCAGTGGCGCGAACTCGGCTCACTACAAGCTCCGCCTCCTGGGTTTACGCCATTCTCCAACCTCAGCCTCCCGAGTAGCTGGGACTACAGGCGCCTGCCACCTCGCCCGGCTAGTTTTTTTTGTACTTTTAGTAGAGACGGGGTTTCACCGTGTTAGCCAGGATGGTCTCGATCTCCTGACCTTGTGATCCGCCCGTCTCGGCCTCCCAAAGTGTTGGGATTACAGACGTGAGCCACCGCGCCCGGCCCAATACTGGCTAATTTTTTATATTTTTGGTAGAGATGGGAATTCACTGTGTTGGCCAGGGTGGTTTTGAACTCCTGACTTCAAGTGATCCACCCACCTCAGCCTCCCAAAGTGCTGGGATTACAGGCGTGAGCCACCGTGCCTGGCCGAAATATTGTTTGCTATTGCAGTTATACTAATCTTTGTAACACATATAGGTAGATTTATAAAATATTGGGAGTTAACTTTGCTGCCCTCTGTGTGTTTATTTTTTAATTTTTATTTATTTATTTATTTTGAGACAGAGTCTCTGTCACCCAGGCTGGAATACAGTGGTGTGATCTCAGCTCACTGTATCCTCTGCCTCCAGGGTTCAAGTAATTCTCGTGCCTCAGCCTCCTGAGTAGCTGGGACTATAGGTGTGCACCACCATGCCCGGCTAATATTTGTATTTTTAATAGACACAAGGTTTCACCATGTTGGCCAGGCTGGTCTCGAACTCCTGACCTCAAGTGATCCACCCACTTTGGCCTCCCAAAATGCTGGGATTATAGGTGTGAGCCACTGCACCAGGCCTTTTGTTTTATCTGTGTGTGTGTGTGTGGGTGTGTGTGTGTGTCTATCTATCTATCTGTCTGTCTATTTTTTGAGACAGTCTCACTCTGTTGGTCAGGCTGGAGTGCAGTGGTGCCCTCACACCTCACTACAACTTTGCCTCCCAGGGCTCAAGTGATCCTCCCACCTCTGCCTCCCAGTAACTGGGACCACAAGTGCACGCCACCATGCCTGCCTAATTTTTGTATTTTTTGTGCAGACAGGTTTCGCCATGTTGCCCAGGCTGTTCTCAAACTTCTGGGCTCAAACAATCCAGCCACCTCGGCCTCCCAAAGTGCTGGGAATACAGTCGTGAGCCACTGTTCCCAGCCTGTATGTTTTTGTTTGTTTGTTTGTTTGTTTTAATAAATAAATAAAATATTGGGGTTTTCTGTTTTTGTGGGGTTTTGTTTGTTTGTTTGTTTTTTTAGTCCGAGTCTCGCTCTGTCTCCCAGACTAGAGTGCAGTGCTGTGATCTTGGCTCACTACAAGCTCCGCCTCGCAGGTTCAAGCGATTCTCCTGCCTCAGCCTCCCTAGTAGCTGGGACTACAGGTGCCTGCCGCCATGCCCAGCTAATTTTTCGTATTTTAAGCAGAAGCAGGGTTTCATCATGTTAGCCAGGATGGTCTCAATCTCCTGACCTCGTGATCCACCCGCCTCAGCCTCCCAAAGAGCTGGAATTACAGGTATGAGCCACCGCGCCCGGCCTGTTTTTGTGTTTTAACTAGGTTTCCCTGTGTTGCCCAGGCTGGTCTTGAATTCCTAGCCTCAAGCGATCCTCCTGCCTTGGCCTCCCAAAGTGCAGAAATTACAGGCATGAGCCACCACACACAGCCTAAAATATTGTTTTGTTTTTATTTTTTTTTCGAGGCAGAGTCTCGCCCTGTTACCCAGGCTGGAGTGCAGTGGCATGATCTTGGCTCACTGCAGCCTCTGCCTCCCGGGTTCAAATGATTCTCCTGTCTCAGTGTCCCGAGTAGCTGAGATTACAGGCGCCCATCACCACGCCTGGCTAATTTTTGTATTTTTAGTAGACATGGGGTTTCACCATATTGGCCAGGCTGGTCTTGAACTCCTGACCTCAAGTGATCCATCCGCTTTGGCCTCCCAAAGTTCTGAGATTACAGGCATGAGCCGCTGTGCCCAGCCCATTGTTATACTTTCTAGCAAAAAAAAAAAAATATATATATATATATATATATATATGTGTGTGTGTGTGTGTGTGTGTGTATATATATATTTATTCCTGACAGCCTGAGGTAGAAGAAAGGTAGTTAACTTAGATACAAATAACTGCTTGCCCATTTAGGAATCTAAGACTAAGCAATTAACATTCTCATGGGTATCTCCCTGCACATGTGTACAAATATCTGAGAAGTGCCTGGCTTTGGTTAATTGTCTCCTGATCAGAATCCATTACTTACTAAGCCAGGCACAGTGTTGTGCACCTGTAGTCCCAGCTACTTGGGAGGCTGAGGTAGGGAGATCACTTGAGCCCAGGAGTTCAAAGCCAGCCTGGACAACAATGGGGGACCCCATCTGAAAAATAAAACAAAAGGAATCCATGACTTGTTAAGAGTCAAGGTATCTTTCATATGCCTGCCTTCCATCTTGCATATTCCTCCCATGTCTCTTCATTAACTTTAATCCTACCTCTCTTTCAGGTCCCAGACATTTTTGTGGCGAAATAATCTTTGATCACTCCTGCCTACCGTGATCTCCCCTTCTTACCTTGAAATTTATGTAGCACTTGTCTTCTGTAGTTTCACCAAGCACATTTCATGTGCTCATATGCCTGTCTTGAACTATAGACTTTTTTTTTTTTTTTTTTTTTTTTTTTTTTTTTTTGAGACGGAGTCTCACGCTGTTGCCCAGGCTGGAGTGCAGTGGCGCGATCTCGGCTCACTGCAAGCTCCGCCTCCCGGGTTCCCGCCATTCTCCTGCCTCAGCCTCCTGAGTAGCTGGGACTACAGGCGCCCGCCACCGCGCCCGGCTAATTTTTTGTATTTTTAGTAGAGACGGGGTTTCACTGTGGTCTCGATCTCCTGACTTTGTGATCCGCCCGCCTCGGCCTCCCAAAGTGCTGGGATTACAGGCTTGAGCCACCGCGCCCGGCGACTTTTTTTTTTTTTTTTTTTTGAGACAGGGTTTCAACTTGTGTCACCCAGGCTGGAGTGCAGTGGTGCAATCTCGGCTCACCGCAACCTTAGCCCCCTGGGCTCAAGTGATTCTCCAAGCCTCAGCCTCCCAACTAGCTGGGACTATAGGCACACACCACCGTGCCCAGCTGATTTTTGTATTTTTTGTAGAAATGGGGTTTCACCATGTTGCCCAGCCTGGTCTTGAACTCCTGAGCTCAAGTGATCCATTTATGGCCTCCCAGAATGCTGGGATTACAGGTGTGAGCCACTGCACCCATTCTTGAAATGTAGACTTTTTATTCCTATGTATTTTGTTGTTGTTGTTGTTAATATTGTTGTTTTTGGGACATAGTCTTGCTCTGCTGCCCAGGCTGGAGTGCAGTGGTACAATAATAACTCACTGTAGCTTTGACCTCTCAGGCTCTGGTGAGCCTTTCACCTCAACCACCCAAGCACAGACATGTGCCACCATGCCCAGCTAACTTTTTTCGTGTATTTTTTCGAAGAGCGGGTGTTTCACCATGTTGCCTAGGCTTGTCTCGAACTTCTAGGCTCAAGCCATTTGCCCACCTTAGCCTCCCAAAATGCTAGGAGTACAGGCAGTGAGCTACTGCATTCAGCCAAGCTTCATATTTTGATATTTTGTATTATCTTCCCATTAAGATTATAAACTTTTTTAGGGCAAGAACAATCTAATTGTTTTGGATTTAAAAAATTTTTTTAAATTCTGGATTCTAAGGATTAAATGATTGTTTTATTCTCTCTTTTGGTGAGATGTCTTTTTTTTTTTTTTTGAAATGAGGGTCTCACTCTGTGACCCAGACTGGAATGCAGTGACATAATCTCAGCTCACTAGAGGTATCTTTTATGACATTGAACAGTGACAGTGAGCTCACAAATGTTTAGGCGTTTTCTGTTTTGTGTTCTATTTATGACCCATAGGTGGCACCTATTGAGTGTTAGATAGCAAACAACAGCATGTGGGCAACTGGCTGGCTCAGGCTACAGGTTCTTTTCTTCCATTGATGACTCAAGATTAAAGTATCAATTAACACTTAATTAACACAGTAACTTACATATTCCTCTAATATTTGCTTTGGCCAGTTTATTAAACCATAGATGTTCCTGTATATAGGCATTTATTAGAATTTTCATATTCTTTCTTGTAGGACCGGGTGACTTTTAGAAGAATCATAGTGAAAAATAATGCAAAAAAGAGGAAGATGTTTGAATCATTTATTGAGTCTGTGCCCCTCCTTAAATCGCTAGAGGTAAAGTGGCTTGAATGAGAATCTGTTCATGGGGATCAGGAAAAGCTTTTAAAACTATTCTGTTGTTAGGTGTTCAAATCATACTATTCTAATCCCATTTCTGTGTTGTATAGCTATTGTGACTTTCAGTTAAGATCTTTTCCTTTTATTTCTGAATTTGTCTGTTGTTTCAGGTGTCAGAACGAATGAAGATAGTGGATGTAATAGGAGAGAAGATCTATAAGGATGGAGAACGCATAATCACTCAGGTGAGTGAGGGCTTTACACAGCTCCTTTCCTGGAAGTCACCCCTGAATAACTAGTACATCATTTATCTCAAAAATCTTGCCAGACATAGTGGCTGACGCCTGTAATCCCAACACTTCGGGAGGCTGAGGGAGGTGGATCGCTTGAGACCAGGAGTTCGAGACCAGCCTGGCCAACATGGTGAAACTCCGTCTCTACTAAAAATACTAAAATTAGCTGGGTGTGGTGGCCCACGCCTGTAATCCCAGCCACTCGGGAGGCTGAGGCAGGAGAATTGCTTGAACCCAGGAGGCGGAGGTTGCAGTGAGTCGAGATTGCGCCACTGCCTCCAGCCTGGGCAACAGAGTGAGACTCCATTTCAAATTAAAAAAAAAAAAAAAACTTCTATGTTCTCCCACTGTTGGGAGCTCTTATTACCAGGTAATAGATCACACTTCAGAGGACAATTATATAGTCCCCTGAAGCTTATTGATGTCCGTCTTACTGACACATGCAGATCACTTGCTTCCGCTCACCTTTCCTTGGCTTCTAGTGTTTGTTCTTTGGATGTCATTTTCTTTTGACCTTGAGTAAGTTTCATCCATTGCTATTAGAACCTGGGGAAGGTTAAAGAGTTCTGCCCTCTAACTTTCTATATTTGACACAAAGGCATCCTTTTGGCTAATCTAACACAAATCAGAGTCCACAGTCTTCAGTGATTAACCAAATTTGTAAGATGTCTGGTATTTCCTTTGTGCATTTTTCTCATGTTATTTTGGGATACAGTAAGGATTACTAAACAGTGGGCTAGATCATTGTAATGAGTACTGTCTAATAATTTTCTTTATCCACTGTGTTTGTATTTTTAATAAAACATAAATAGTATTGGACTTTTCCAGGTATCAGCTTCTCTGCCTATGGTTCTGGCTCAAGAGCACTGAGAAGATACATGGTTGGCCTAGGTTGGGTGATATGCTTATCCTTGAACCCAGTACTGAGACCACGAGGAGGAAAGGCTCAGATTGGTCAGGCGTGGGTCCTGTGGGTGGAGTTGGCCCCACTAGAACCACAAGGACTAATCAGACTTACCATAAAAGGGGAAAAGAAAGCTCCCCTGGAAGAGATAAAGGACTAACAAAAATATGATGTCTACTCTGAGTCACATCTCTGAATGTATTTGTTTTCTAGGAGCCCTTACTATTAATAATTCTTTTAATTAGAAATTGATATATTCTATAAACATTTATTAAGATAGGTAGGACCAGATATGATAAGCACTATAATGAAGGAGTGTATGAATGACAGTGAGAACATAGAAATGGAAGTAATACATACGGTTTCATCAAGGAATTGCCATTTGAGATGGGCTTAAAAAACAAGTGCAATTACAATGTTTGAAATCAGGGAAAGGTCCTTCAGAGCAAAAAAACAATATTAGCAAAGGCCAGTGGTGTGAGCTGTGTTTCAGAGCAGGTATCCTGGTATGGTAAGAATGTAGGACTGAGTTTCAGAAATGGGAGATGTTAACTGGCCACATTTGCTTCTGAATTTAAGGTGCTTTAAGTAACATTCAAAGGACCTCCAATTCATCCTGAAGGTTCTAGGCCTGTCTCATGCTGGGTTTTCACGAAGTATGTCAGGAGATGTGAAAAGTCATAGTGTTTTCTTGATTGTCTGTGCTCTTGAAGATAGAGTACTATCTATCTTCAAGGTAGACAGGTAGTGGTACAGAATGGACATTAATTAAGATGATATTAAAAGGGACTTATTATAGGCCCCTTTTGTCAATGTCTCTCACTGGACCAAGGCTTCTCAAAGTGAGATCCCAGGACCAGCAGCAATCAGCATCATCTGAGAATGTTAGAATTGTTAGGAATGCAAGTTCTTGGGCCCCCCACTAGACCTGCTGAATCAGAAACTACATTTTATGTTGTTTCATTTTTTTTGGTCAGCTTTGTTACAGTGTGTTTTACATACAATAAAATTACTAAGTTTAAGTGTACAAATTGGAAGAGTTTTGTAACCATCCCCAGTGTGGTATTTCCATCACCCATACAGTTCCTTGTTTTGTATTTGCATTTGCAGTCACTACCCTCCCCCACACTCACATTCCTGGAAACCATTGATGTTTTCTATCACTGTAGAAATTCCGTTCTACAATTTAATATAAATGAAATCATGCAATGTATAGTTTTTGTATCTGGTTTCTTTCTCTTAGCATAATATTTTTGAGATTTATCCATGTTGTATGTATCAGTAGATCATTCCTTTTGCTGAATAATATTTCATTGTACAAATGTAATTTTTTTTTTCATTTTTCTGTTTTCTTTTTGAAACGGAGTTTTGCTCTTGTTGCCCAGGCTGGAGTGCAATGGTGCGATCTCAGCTCACCATAACCTCCACCTCCCACGTTCAAGCAATTCTCCTGCCTCAGCCTCCCATTATTTTTTCTTTTTAATGAGACACAGTCTTGCTCTGTCACCCAGGCTGGAGTACAGTGACATAATCTCAGCTCACTGTAACCTCTGCCTCTCGGGTTCAAGCGATTCTCGTGCCTCAGCCTGCTGAATAGTTGGGACTAAAGGCTCACGCCACCATGCCTGGCTAATTTTTTTTTTTTTTTTTTTTTTTTTTTTTTGAGATGGAGTCTCGCTCCGTCGCCCAGGCTGGAGTGCAGTGGCCGGATCTCAGCTCACTGCAAGCTCCGCCTCCCAGGTTCATGCCATTCTCCTGCCTCAGCCTCCCGGGTAGCTGGGACTACAGGCGTCCGACACATCGCCCGGCTAGTTTTTTTTTGTATTTTTTAGTAGAGACGGGGTTTCACCGTGTTAGCCAGGATGGTCTCGATCTCCTGACCTCGTGATCCGCCCGTCTCGGCCTCCCAAAGTGCTGGGATTACAGGCTTGAGCCACCGCGCCCGGCCTGCCTGGCTAATTTTTGTATTTTTAGTAGAGACAGGGTTTCACCGTGTTTGCCAGGCTGGTTTTGAATATCTGACCTCAAATGATCCGCCCAGCTCAGCCTCCCAAAGTGCTAGGATTACAGGCGTGAGCCACCATGCCCATCCTTTGTGTAGACATATGTTTTTACTACTCTTCAGTAAATACTGTTTTTTTTTTTTTGAGACAGAGTCTCGCTCTGCCACCCAGGATGGAGTGCAGTGGCATGATCTCAGCTCACTGTAACCTCTGCCTCCCGAGTTCAAGCAAGTCTTGTGCCTCAGCCTCCCGAGTAGCTGGAACCAAAGGCATGTGCCACTATGCCTGGCTAATTTTGTTTGTTTGTTTTTGTTTTTAGTAGAAATGGGATTTCACCATGTTGGCCAGGCTGGCCTTTTTAGTAAATACTTAAGAGTGCAATTGCTAAATTATATGTTAACTTCATAACAAACAGCCAAACTGTCTTAAAATGGCTATACTGTTTTGTATTCCTACCAGCCATGCATGAAAATTCATTTGCTCTGCATTCTCAACAGTAAATAGTATTTACAGCCTTAAAAAAAAAAAATACAGTCAGGGTCTTGCTATATTGCCCAGCCTGGTCTTGAACTTCTGAGCTCAAGCCATCTGCCTGCCTTGGCCTCCCAAGTGCTGGGATTATAGGTATGCCCCCTCCATGCCTAGCCTTCATTTTCTTAATGGTATCTTTTGAAGAGAAAACAGTTTTAATTTTGCTAAGTCTAGTTTATCATCTTTTCTTCTTTGTAGTTTGTACTTTTGCTGCTGTATTTTAGGAAATCTTTGCAAAATCAATAATACTTTCTCCCAAGTTTACTTCCAAGACCAGCACTGTTCAATAGAAATAACATGTGAGCCACATATGTAATTTTAAAAATCTTTGGTCAGGCAGGGTGGCTCATGCCTGTAATCCCAGCACTTGGGGAGGCTGAATAGCTTGAGGCAGATAACTTGAGGCCAGGAGTTCGAGACCAGCCTGGCCAACATGACGAAACTTCATCTCTACTAAAAAGTAATACAAAAATTAGCTAGGTTTGCTGGTGCACAACTGTAATCCCAGCTACTTGGGAGGTCTAAGAATGAGAATCGTTTGAACTTGGGAGGCAGAGGTTGCAGTGAGCCAAGGTCATGCCACTGCATTCTAGCCTGGAGGACAGAGCAAGACTTGGTCTCAAAAAAATTGAAGAAATAAAAACTTTCAGTAGATACTTGAAATAGTCAACTTAATTTTAATATATTTCATTTAACAAGTATATCTAAAATATTGTTACATCTAAGTGATATAAAACTTTATTAATGAGATATTTTACATTTTTAATACTAAGTCTTCAAAATCTAATGTATGTTTTACATCTTTAGTACATCTAAGTTTATACTAGCAACATTTCAAGTGCTGAGCCACATTTGACTAGTGGCTAATGTATTAAGCAGTACAGCTGTAGACATTCACAATTTTAGCTCTTACCTTAGGTCTGTGATCCATTTTGAATTATTTTTATTGTTTTTGTTTTGTTTTTTTGAGATGGAGTCTCGCTCTGTCGCCCAGGCTGGAGTGCAATGGCGCGATTTCGGCTCACTGCAAGCTCTGCCTCCCACGTTCACGCCATTCTCCTACCTCAGCCTCCCAAGTATCTGGGACTACAGGCGCCTGCCACCATGCCCGGCTAATTTTTTGTATTTTTAGTAGAGATGGGGTTTCACAGTGTTAGCCAGCATGGTCTTGATCTCCTGACCTCGTGATCCTCCTACGTTTGCCTCCCAAAGTGCTGGGATTACAGGCGTGAGCCACTGCGGAAGCAAGGTCTCGCTCTGTCTTTCAGGCTTCAGTACAGTGTGCGATCGTAGCTCACTGCAGCCTTGAGCTTCTGGGCTTAAGCAATACTCTTCCATTAGCCTTCCAAGCAGTGCCACCACACCCAGCTAATTCTTTTTTTTTTTTTTTTTGGAGAAGGAGTTTTGCTCTTGTTGCCCAGGCCAGAGTGCAATGCCACTATCTCAGCTCACCACAACCTCCGCCTGCTGGCAGAGGATCAAGAGATTCTCCTGCCTCAGCCTCCCAAGTAGCTGGGATTACAGGCATGCACCACCACGCCCAACTACTTTATTTTATTTTATTTTATTTTTTTTTAGTAGAGACAGGGTTTCTCCATGTTGGTCAGGCTGGTCTGCGAACTCCCGACCTCAGGTGATCCACCCACCTCAGCCTCCCAAAGTGCTGGGATTACAGGTGTGAGCCACCGTGCCCAGGCTACACCCAGCTAATTTTTAAATTTTTTGTAGACAGGGTCTCTTTATGTTGCCCATGCTAGTCTTGAACTCCTGGCCTCAAGTGATCCTCCCACCTCACCTCCCAAGTAGCTGAGATTACAGGCTTGTGCCACCACACCTGACTACATTTTTGTGTTTTGTTTTGTTTTATTTTGTTTGTTTTTTGTTTTTTGAGATGGAGTTTCGCTCTTGTTGTCCAGGCTGGAGTGCAATGGCACAATCTCGGCTGACTACAACCTTCACCTCCCCAGTTCAGGTGATTCTTCTGCCTCAGACTCCTGAGTAGTTGGAACTACAGGCATGCATCACCATGCCCGGCTAATTTTTTTATTTTTAGTAGAGAACAGGGTTTCGCCCTGTTGGCCAGGCTGGTCTCAAACTTCTGACCTCAGGTGATCCGCCCACCTTGGCCTCCCAAAGTGCTGGGATGTTGTGAGCCACAGCGCCTGGCCTACATTTTTGTTTTTTAATGACTTGCATAATTTTCACAAGTAATTTTCATAATCGATAGAATATTTAGCTTATTCTCAGAATAATGTAGACAGAAGGTAGCTTTAATTTTACAAAATCATGTTTTATGTTTTCACTATTAAAGTACCATTGCATTAAACCCAAAAGATTCCCATATCCTGAAAATTAGGGCTTCAATCATTCTTATAGTGGAATGTGGATCTTATATTATCTGTTGTGAAAAAGAGACATATAAAAACCTGATGACATGTTCACAAAGACCTAAAATGCAGTACAGTCTGGCTTCTTTACTCTTGAATGTAGAATGGAATGTTCTTTCTGTGAGATGGGTACACAGAGCCTAGTAGTGAACTTGAAAAGCAGGATACTTGGCGGGGCATGGTGACTCACGCCTGTAATCCCAGCACTTTGGGAGTCCGGGGCAGGTGTATCACCTGAGGTTGGGAGTTCGAGACCAGCTAATCCCAGCTACTCAGGAGGCTGAGGCAAGAGAATCACTTGAACCCCCGGAGGCCGAGGTTGTGGTGAGCCGAGATCACACCATTGAACTCCAGGCTGGGCGACAAGAACGAAACTCTGTCTCAAAAATAAATAAAATACATACATACATACATACACAAAAATTAGCCAGGAGTGCTGGTGCACACCTATAATCCCAGCTACTTGGGAGGCTGAGGCACAAGAATCACTTGAACCTGGGAAGTGGAGGTTGCACCACTGTACTCCAGCCTGGGCAAAAGAGACTCCGTCTAAAAAAAAAAAAAAAGGCCTGGTGCGGTGGCTCATGCCTGTAATCCTAGCACTTTGGGAGGCCGAGGCGGGTGGACTGCCTGAGCTCAGGAGTTGAAACCAGCTTGGGCAACATGGAGGTGAAACCCCATCTCTACCTAAAATACAAAAAATTAGCCAGGCATGGTGGTGTGCACCCGTAATCCCAGCTACTCAGGAGGCTAAGGCAACAGAATTGCTTGAACCCAGGAGGTGGAGGTTGCACTAAGCCGAGATCGTGCCCCTGTGCTCCAGCCTGGGTGACACAGTGAGACTGTCTCAAGAAAAAAAAAAAAAGGAAAAAAAAATGAAGACAGCAGAGACTAGGGTATGTGTACAGGATAACAATGACGCCATCACGCCTGGCTAATTTTTGTACTTTTAGTAGAGATGAGGTTTCACCATCTTGGTCAGGCTGGTCCCAAACTCCTGACCTCAGGTGATCTGCCCACCTCAGCCTCCCAAAGTGCTGGGATTACAGGCGTGAGCCACCACACGTGGCCTTTTTTGTATTTAGTAGAGACGGGGTTTCACCATGTTGCCCAGGCTGGTGTCGAACTCCTGGCCTGAAGCAGTCCGCCCCCTCAGCCTCCCAAGGTGCTGGGATTACAGGTGTGAGCCACCGTGCCTGGCCTTTGCTGTCTTCAAAACACTCGTACACTCCTTCCCTCACTTTGTTTCTATTCTGGCTACCAGCCTAATTTCTTGCATAGCCAGAGACTTTCAAAGTATGATCTGACAATATGGACTAAAAGAAGCCAGATACGAAAAATGTATGACTCCATTTATATTAAGGAATGGCCAAAACCTACAAGGACAGAAATTAGATATGGTTACTTCATGGGTGGGAATGTGGTATTTTTGACTGAACTCCAGAGGGAGCCTTTTGGAGTATGGATATATTTTCTATTTTGATCTAGGAGGTGGTTATACAGGTTTATACATTTGCAAAAAGTCATCAATCTATATAGCCTTGAAATGTGAGCACTTTAAATGGTGGATGTTATACACCTATCTAAACAAAAAGGGCTCAAGCACTATCCTTCACCACCTATCACTTGCAGATCTTTCCTACCACACAGATCTTTCCTTTTCATCACCCTCTTCTTGGTGAAATAACCTCTCCCTCTTTGTGACTCTGCTTCTGGCTCCTACTGAGTTTCTTTCATGGCTCTTCATCCTTTGTCAGCTCCTATCATGCAGCTGTTTGTGTAATGCTAGAACTTCATGGTTATTTGGCTCTGCTGGTTGTAGGATACCTACCCAACATAGCAGGGCAGAAACCCACAGGCACCCCTTTGTAAAGCTGTGGCATTTACTTATATGGGGCAGTGATATATCCTGGGATTAGATTGACTCAGAAACGTCATCCTAGCTGTGTATGGTGCCCACGTGGGGCTCTATGTGATGGTCAAAGGACATAAAGTTTGTGAAAGCCTAAGAAGTAGATTCTCACTGAAGACCTAAGACCCACACAGAGTGAGAGTGCATAAGTAATATTGCATTATCTGATGTAGATGGTATTTGTTCCAGAAGTTAATAGTGAGGGGTCAGAAACTGAATGAAGTGTGCCTGAAAGCTGCTTCACATATATCTGCATGCCTAACTCAGACGTCCTCCCGGTCTTTGCTCAAATCTCACCTTCTCAAGCTCCTTTTTTTTTTTTTTTTTTTTTTCCTTTGCCTAAGAGGCAGGATCTCATTGTTGCTCAGGCTGGAGTGCAGTGGCAGGATCATGGCTCACTGCAGTTTTCACCTCCTGGGCTCACATGATCCTCCCGCCTTAGCCTCCCTAGTAGCTGGGGCTGCAGGCATATGTCACTGTGCCCAGCTAATTTTCTAAATTTTTTATTTGTTGAGACAGAGTCTCACTGTATTGTCCAGGTTAGTATTGAACTCCCGGCCTCAAGCAATCCTCCAGCCTTGGTCTCCCTAAGTGCTGGGATTACAGGAATGACACCCAGCCTCAGTAAAGCTCTCATATATAGGATACCCACTCCTTCCCCAGCACTCCAGATCTCACATTCCCTGTTTTACTCTTTTTGTGTAGCACTTATCGCCTTGCAACAGAACAATATAATTTACTGATTTATTATGTTGACTGTTTAAAGTTTGTTTACCCTGTCAGACTGTAAGTTCTACAAGGCCAAGGGGTATTCATTTTGTCCACTGGGTGTATTTCACATGCCTAAAACAGTGCCTTGCACATAGTAAATAACTTGGTAAATAAATTACTTGTTGAATTAAGTAAATGACTGGTTCAACCATGTGGTTTAAAATCAAAACAAGTAGGCTTATGCCTGTAATCCCAGCACTTTGGGAGGCAGAGGTGGGTGGATCAGTTGAGCCCAGGAGTTTGAGATCAGCCTGGGCAATATGGCAAAACTCTGTCTCTGCAAAATATACAAAAATTAGCTGACCATGGTGATGTGCACATCTAGTCTCAGCTACTTGGGAGGCTGAGGCAGGCATATCACTTGAGCCTGGGAGGTTGAGGCTGCAGTGAGCCATGATCACACTACTGCACTCCAACCTGGGCAACAGAGCAAGGCCCTGTTTCCAGAAAAATAAATAATTAAAAATACAAAATAAAACAAGCAAACGAAAAGCCTAAGGTTCATAAGGGTAACATCAAAGTACCTCTCTCACCAAGACAGAACCTTCCAGATCCATGCTGTCCTGTTGAGAGTTATATTTAATGGTTCAAGATTATCCCTGGACCCCATACTTCAGGTGTAGCCAGGAATCACCTTAAAATTGTCTGCAGCAGCCTTGACTACTGGTCCCTGTCATAGATTTCAATAGCAGACCAACATGAGCAATGAGAACAGTGATGCTTTATGCACTTGGCAACCTGGGCACATTCATTGAGATCAATGTGAGTGGTTCATGCTAAGAAGTGGGAGATGTGTCAGTTGTAGTTAGGTTGATATCCCAGTGATCAGAATCTTCTTCATTTTGTTCTGAATTTGTTTTTTGTTTTGTTTTGTTTTTTGTTTTTTTGAGGTGGAGTCTCGCTGTGTCACCAGGCTGGAGTACAGTGGCGCGACCTCAGCTCACTGCAACCTCCGACTCTCTGGTTCAAGCGATTCTCCTGCCTCAGCCTCCCCAGTAGCTGGGATTATAGGCACGCGCCACCACATCTGGCTAATTTTTGTATTTTTAGTAGAGACGGGTTTCACCATGTTGGCCAGGATGGCCTCAATCTCCTGACCTTGTGATCTGCCTGCCTCAGCCTCCCAAAGTGCTGGGATTATAGGTGTGAGCCACCGTGCCTGGCCTACTCTGAATTTGTTTACTATTGATTCATTTGTAGAGTTAAAAAAATAAATACAAATCAGAGCTTAAGCAGTGAAAAAGCAAACTATTTCTTTATTCCCCTTCAATACTAGGTATGGCTCTGACCTGACCTCCTTTTTCTTTCAGGGTGAAAAGGCTGATAGCTTTTACATCATAGAGTCTGGTGAAGTGAGCATCTTGATTAGAAGCAAGGTGAGTTTATCAGTTTATAGGTGATGGTGTACACACAAAAAGTAACGGTTTGCTTTAAATAATGTGAAGTGTGTTGAATGCAGCAAACCGTCATTGTTATGTGAGATGTATGACTGGCAGAGACCCATGTTTAAGCCCATTTAGTATAGATTTAGTATATTTAGATTAGATTAAATATAGATTTAGTATATTCTTATTTTTACTGCCTTTGCATCTGCCATGTAATTAATGATTTAGGGAATATCGGCCTACAAATCAATAAGAAAAAGATAAAAACCCTAATAGAAAATGGGGGCTGGGGCCGGGCACGGTGGCTCACGCCTGTATCCCAGCACTTTGGGAGGCTGAGGCGGCGGATCATGAGGTCAGGAGATTGACACCATCCTGGCTAACACAGTGAAACCCCATCTCTACTAAAAATACAAAAAAAATTAGTGGCCGGGCGCGGTGGCTCAAGCCTGTAATCCCAGCACTTTGGGAGGCCGAGACGGGCGGATCACGAGGTCAGGAGATAGAGACCATCCTGGCTAACACAGTGAAACCCCGTCTCTACTAAAAAAAATACAAAAACTTAGCCGGGCGAGGTGGCGGGCGCCTGTAGTCCCAGCTACTCGGGAGGCTGAGGCAGGAGAATGGCGTGAACCCGGGAGGTGGAGCTTGCAGTGAGCTGAGATCCGGCCACTGCACTCCAGCCTGGGTGACAGAGCGAGACTCCGTATCAAAAAAAAAAAAATTAGCCAGCATAGTGGCAGGCGCCTGTAGTCCCAGCTACTCAGGAGGCTGAGGCAGGAGAATGGCATGAATCCGGGAGGCAGAGCTTGCAGTGAGCCAAGATTGCCCCACTGCACTGCAGCCTGGGTGACAAAGCAAGACTCCGTCAAAAAAAAGAAAAAAGAAAATGGGGCTGGGCGCAGTGTCTCACACCTGTAATCCTAGCACTTTTGAGGCCTAGGCAAGAGGATCTCTTGAGCCAAGAGATTGAGGCTGCAGTGAACCGTGATTGTGCCACTGCACTCCAGCCTGGGTGACAGAGCAAAACCCTGTCTTTGAAAAAAAAAAAAGAAAAAGGAAAGAAAATAGGGAAATTATATAATAAAAAGAGATTGGAAGGGATGAATATGAAGAAAGCTTCCTTTTTAGAGCACTACTAGAAGAGGTCTCTAGGATAACTGTGGTCATTTAATGGATGATGTGACCTAGAAAACTGAGGAGCTATGAGTAGAAGGAATGACTGTTACCGGTAAATCTATCATCACCAGATTTTTCAGTTTTTTTTTTTTTTTGAGAATATAGAGTTTGTTAAAACAGTTATATATAACACTAAGTCGAACTAATATGAAAACTTTTGCAAAATATATTGAGTAACAGTTAATAAGTAGCTGGGCACAGTTGCACACGCCTGTAATCCCAGCACTTTGGGAGGCTGAGGCAGGTGGATCACGAGGTCAGGAGATCAAGACCATCCTATCTAACACAGTGAAACCCCGTCTCTACTAAAAATACAAAAAATTAGCCGGGCGCGGTGGCGAGCGCCTGTAGTCCCAGCTACTTGGGGAGCTGAGGCAGGAGAATGGCGTGAACCCAGGAGGCGGAGCTTGCAGTGAGCCGAGATCGCGCCACTGCACTCCAGCCTGGGCGACAGAGTGAGACCTCTTAAAAAGAAAAAAAACAAAACAATAGTTTGAAATGTCTGTGTCATTTTATTTACAGTTTTTGGATTAGTGATGTTTGTAGATTTCTCAGATATTCATTGACACCTGCTATGATCACAGCATAGTGTTAGGTGCATAAGATCAGCAGCAGCATGGCACTGGGATATTGCAGGGTGGGAGGTTTGTCAGAAGTGTAGAGTCCTGGGCTTTTCCCCAGATCTACTGATTCAGAATGTGCATTGCGAGAAAACCTGCATAATACTGGAGCTGGTGCGTATGTGATGGTGTGATAAGTCCCTCCTGTTCTAGAGAAGGGACTAAGTGGGCACAAATATGGCTGCAACTCCAGAGAATGCTACTGAAATTGGAAAGAGAAAGTTGGCTCAAATGGAACAGACCAACTTCAGAGCAACAGGGCGGAAGTGTAGAAGGAAGAAGGGTCAAACCGTGTAAACCAGCGTAGCAGTTTTGTTTGCTTTAAAAATTAACCAAAAAGGAAATTATCTTTCTGCCTACAACATAAAGTTGTTCTTAGAGATTGAGACTAATTCTTACTAAAAAATTCTAAACAATTTTTTACTTAAATTATCACTTTGGTTAGCAGTTGGATTTGTTAAAAAAAAAAACTCTAGATATTAATACACTGTAGTGTATTATCTTAAATTTAGTTACTTAACTCTTACTTTAAAAAATGGGAGGAGGGAGGCCAGGTGCAGTGGCTCACGCCTGTAATCCCAGCACTTTGGGAGGCCGAGGTGGGTGGATCACGAGGTCAGGAGCTCAAGACCATCCTGGCGAACATGGTGAAACCCTGTCTCTATTAAAAATACAAAAAAAATTAGCGGGGCGTGGTAGCGGGTGCCTGTAGTCTCAGCTACTCGGGAGGCTGAGGCAGGAGAATGGCATGAACCCGGGAGGCGGAGCTTGCAGCGAGCAGAGATCATGCCACTGCACTCTAGCCTGGGCAACAGAGTAAGACTCCATCTCAAAAAAAAAAGGGAGGAGAGACCACTAACTTAAGATACAGATAGTACTTAAAAAGAAATTTGTTGGCCAGAAGCAGTGAATCACTCCTATAATCCGAGCACTTTGGGAGGCCAAGACCAGGAGGATTGCTTGAGGCCAGCAGTTCAAGGCTGCATGAGCTGTGATCATTCCTCTGAACTCCAGCCTTGGTGACAGAGTGAGACCCTGTCTCTTAAAAAAAAAAAAAAAGAAGAAGGTGGAGAGCTTGGGGAATTTTGTCACTATAAAATGTTGTTCAAGGCGTAGTCTCAACTCAGAGAAATAGCCCAAGTTTGTGGCTCATTAAGAGAAGCATTGTCCTTATTTAGACAAGATTGGGCATGTTCAGAGTGGTATGGCTGTAGATTACCTTAAAAATATTAGGACTCAGATGGAGCCCTAGGTGAAAAGCAAACTCCTCTGATCAAACCAGACCACTGAAATTAATCTGTGGAGTTTACATGGTACAGTTAGTGAATTTTCTGCAAAGTGAGTGCCTCAATAATTGTGTGGAGTGTGCTGAGAACAGTGCATGTGTGTGCAACTGGACATGCCCAGCTGTGATCCTGGAGTCAGCCTAGGTCATGTTCTTTGCCTGCTGTAGACTAAATCAAACAAGGATGGTGGGAACCAGGAGGTCGAGATTGCCCGCTGCCATAAGGGGCAGTACTTTGGAGAGCTTGCCCTGGTCACCAACAAACCCAGAGCTGCCTCAGCTTATGCAGTTGGAGATGTCAAATGCTTAGGTAAGAAAAGTTCTTTATGCATTAATACTCTTTCTAACGTGTAATATTTTTTTCCCATCAGCAAGCCTTGACATATTCTGCCATCTTTTACTACTGTCTAGGCCTAGGCAGTTTATATGACCACCAGAGATGGATGAATGGATACTTTCAGCAAACATTTCTGAGCGTTGATGACAGCCTGTGAGCAAGACAGGCATGCAGGCCCTTTAGCCATATGAAAAGAACTGATGTCCAGGGCTGTGGGAGAATGGGAAGAACAGGTGCTGCTGGACTCTGTAAAGTCTCTAACTTGGATGACACAGTCTTTCTGAATTCATGTAGAAACATCCCTTTTTGCAAGTAGCCAGTGTCCCAAGGTGTAATCTCCTATAACATGAATGGGTATGTTTAGGAAAAGGTTTGCATGAGGGAAATGGCTTGAATTCATTCTCTCCCTCACCTCTTTTTAACAATGCAGTTATGGATGTACAAGCATTCGAGAGGCTTCTGGGGCCCTGCATGGACATCATGAAGAGGAACATCTCACACTATGAGGAACAGCTGGTGAAGATGTTTGGCTCCAGCATGGATCTGGGCAACCTCGGGCAGTAGGTGTGCCATACCCCAGAGCCTTCTTAGTGTGACACCAAAACCTTCCGGTCAGCCACAGAACACATACAGAAAACAAACATGACAGAACTGTTCCTGCTGTTGCCACCACTGCTGCCACTGCTGTGGTTATGGGCATTTAGAAAACTTGAAAGTCAGCACTAAAGGATGGTCAGAGGTTCAACCCACACCTCCACTTTGCTTCTGAAAGCCCATTATTAGACCACTTGTAAAGATTACTCCAACCCAGTTTTTACATCTTTGGTTCAAAACAGCATGTCTCTCCAACAATTTAAGTGCCTGATACAAAGTCCAAAGTATAAACATGCTCCTTTCCTCTCTTGCTGCTACTCTTACTTATGGAAGTTACCACAGGGTCTGCAAAAACCTGTTGTGTAACTGTAGACACTCTCTAATCGTTCTCAAAGGAGGAAATGTAGCCTTCAGTCTCCTTATTTGTCCCTTGAGAAAGTCCACATTTGTTCACAGTCACAGCCTGCGGTTTTACAGTGGGAAATGGTGGTGGATGGTGTGGACATATGTAGCCCAGTGGCATTGTACTTTCTGCTGACAGCTGCACACATTACAGCTGTCTCCAAACCCACAGTGATGCTTAGGGAAAGACCCTGCTCAGGACCCAGCAGGTCAGCACCCCAGAGCAGACTGATAGGTCAGTGGGACCCATGTTAAAGCAGAAAATTTGGGCTTAGCACATTTTACTGTTAGTAGAGGGCCAGGAAAGGTTTTCTGGGTTGGGGATTTTGTGGGTTTTTTATATCTTTTTTTTTAACCTCTGTGCAGTCTGCATGAATGAATTGTTACCCATTTATAAGGAGTCAGGGTCTGGAGGGTTGCTATCACTTTGTCCAAACCAAATACCTTCCTGGGCAACTCCTACCATTTGTTTGCAGTTGCCCCTACTGGCCAATGGCAGTATGCTGGAAAGAGGTTGTACTATAAAGAGAGCTCTTTCCTTCTACTCCAGAGTTGTTGTGTAGCTTTGCCATTGAACCCATCAATTTTTAAACTCTTTAAAGAAGCAGCAGCTATTTTTTTGAAATTAAAGAAAATTCTCAGGCCAGGCTCAATGGCTCATGCCTATAATCATAGTGCTTTGGGAGGCTGAGCTGGGAGGATCGCTCAAGACCAGCCTAGGCAACAAAGTGAGACCCTGTCTCTAGGAAAAAAAAAAATTTTTTTTTTTTTTTTTTTTTTGGTTGAGATGGAGTTTCGCTCTTGTTGCCCAGGCCGGAGTGCAATGGCGCAGTCTTGGCTTATCGCAACCTCAGCCTCCCAGGTTCAAGCAATTCTCCTGCCTCAGCCTCCTGAATAACTGGAATTACAGGCATGCGCCACCATGCTGGGCTAATTTTGTGTTTTTAATAGAGATGGGGTTTCTCCATGTTGGTCAGGTTGGTCTCGAACTCCCAACATCAGGTCATCTGCCCACCTCAGCCTCTCAAAGTGTTGGGATTATAGGCGTGAGCCACTGCGCCTGGCAAAAAAAAAAAAAAAAAAAAAAAAAAAAATTAATTTGTCAGGTGTGGTGGTTTGTGCATGTAGTCCCAGCTACTTAGGAGGCTGAAGCGGGAGGATCACTTGAACCCAGGAGGTCGAGGCTATAGTGAGCTGTGATCATGCCACTGCACTCCAGTCTGGGCAACACAGTGAGACCCTGTCTCTTAAAAAGAAAAGAAAAAGTTACTCTTTAGGTAATTTCACTTGAACATATTCATATATATGGAAGTTTGTCAGCTAACTCAGGCATTTATCCTAAGGATCAAATCTGTTTTCAAAAATTGGCATTGGCCGGGCACGGTGACCCACTCCTGTAATCCCAGCACTTTGGGAGGCCAAGGCGGGCGGATCACAAGGTCAGGAGTTCAAGACCAGCCTGGCCAACACAGTGAAACCCCGTCTCTACTAAAAATACAAAAAATTAGCCGGGCGTTGTGGTGGGTGCCCGTAATCCCAGCTACTTGAGAGGCTGAGGCAGGAGAATTGCTTGAACGCAGGAAGCGGAGGTTGCAGTGAGCCGAGATCGCACCATTGCACTCCACCCCGGGCGACAGTGCAAGACTCCATCTCACAAAAAAAAAAAAAAAAAAAAAAAAAAATTGGTATCATTTACAATTTCATAGAATTACTGGGAAGGCCTTTCTTGGTTTTTTTTTTTTTTTGAGACGGAATCTCGCTGTCTCCCAGGCTGGAGTGCAGTGGCCGGATCTCAGCTCACTGCAAGCTCCGCCTCCCGGGTCCACGCCATTCTCCTGCCTCAGCCTCCGGAGTAGCTGGGACTACAGGCGCCCGCCATCTCGCCCGGCTAGTTTTTTGTATTTTTTAGTAGAGACGGGGTTTCACCAAGTTAGCCAGGATGGTCTCGATTTTCTGACCTCGTGATCCACCCGTCTCGGCCTCCCAAAGTGCTGGGATTACAGGCTTGAGCCACCGCGCCCGGCCGGGAAGGCCTTTCTAGATGAGATGTTGGGGTATTTGGGATTCTAATTGTTAACCCCAGAAGAAGGTAATTTAGCTTGTATTTATTTAAAACCCATTTAGCCTTTTAATTATGTCAGGTAGAAGTCCAGTGATCATCCTAATAAGGTATATTTCAGAATAAATTTTTTTTCCTTCAGAATAACTTAGAATCAGATGCTCCTAGGGCTCCTAGGAGCAGTGTGAAATTTCAGTAAAGATAAATTTGAATGTTGTAACCAAGTTTATATTAAATCAAGAGGCCATTTCCAATATGATTTTTTGTTTCTTTTTAACTTGTTAAGTCCCTAAGAGATTACATGCTAGGGCTTGAGTCATGTCTGTCATAGATAATGATGGCCCACACATTCACTTTGGACTGTCCACATAAGCTAGGCTTTCCGCTTTTGCCACGGACAATGTAACCAAGATATTTCCAGAGTAAATAACCCACCACAACCTTGGTAATTCCTCTTTTCTTCTTTTTTTATTTTTATTTTTATTTTTTTTTGAGACGGAGTCTTGCTGTGTCGCCCAGGCTGGAGTGCAGTGGCCGGATCTCAGCTCACTACAAGCTCCGCCTCCCGGGTTTATGCCATTCTCCTGCCTCAGCCTCCCGAGTAGCTGGGACTACAGGCGCCCGCCACCTCTCCCGGCTAGTTTTTTGTATTTTTTAGTAGAGACGGGGTTTCACCGTGTTAGCCAGGATGGTCTTGATCTGCTGACCTCATGATCCGCCCGTCTCAGCCTCCCAAAGTGCTGGGATTACAGGCTTGAGCCACTGCGCCCGGCCTCCTCTTTTCTTCTTAAGCTCCATGAAGCAAAAGCAGAAGGACTCTTTTCAGACTGCCCTCTGTAGCCTACGTTGCAGCCTTCAGAATTGTGAAGGGTTGTAATTAATACTCCAAAAGAGGCAGCTAGCACTGGGAAAGCCCATGTGGTGACCCCACATTTTTCTGAGGTTCTTCTTTTCCATGGTGTTACTTTATTATCAAGTAAATTGAGAAAGCAGGTCTTGCCCTTAACAGACAAGAATCACACCAGTTTCTTGCAAAGGTAATGGATACATTGGGATTCAGGAGTGACATAGAGGTCCAGCCCCAGAACTTGTGAGGATTTTGTTTGAATACTGAGCAGATGCCTCCTCCCTGTCATCCATCACACTAGATAGGGCTGGCGGTGAATTCTATGCCAGAGTTTCTCCTGCAGTCTGCTAGGGATGGGCCTTCTCATCCCGCTCTGGCACACATCCCAGTCTAGTCTTTCCCGTCAGAGTCCTCCTTGACACCCCTGACTTAATGATGGTTGCTGTTTTGGAGTAGAATTGATCAGGTTTAAGTCATCCTGCTCAGGTTGGGCATGGTGGCTCATGCCTGCAATCCTAGCACTTTGGGAAGCCAAAGTAGGAAGACTGCTTGAGCCCAGGAGTTCCAAACCATCCTGGGCAACAGAAGGAGACCCTGCCTGTACCAAGAAAAAAAAAAAAAAGGTTAAAAAAAACAGTTAGCTGGACCTGGTGGTGCACACTCAGAAGGCTGAGGTGAAAGGATTTCTTTAACCCGGGAGATTGAAGCTGCAGTGAGCCATGATCGTGCCGCTGCACTCCAGCCTGGGGGACAAAATGGGACCCTATCTCAAAAAAAAAAAAAAGTCATCCTTCTGTAACTACTGATTGACATGTGGATCATCAGTTCAGACCCTCACTGCATACAGGATCCCTAGGGGGTTCTATTTAATAGCTTGAGAAAGGGAGACTAAAAGGACGTCTGTGAGTGAAATAGGGTATAGCTGTTACCACAGTGCCAGGACCTGAGAGCGTTCCAATTCTTTTTGCAGCATGGGGAATCAAAGGTGGCAGACCAATTTCAACTCAGGGCTGAGGTATCCACATTGTCCACATCAGGCAAGCCCTGCACTGATGGTTGAGCCTCATGGAGACGAGCATATGTTGGGAAGAGATCCCTTTGTTACTGTTTTGTGTTGTTCTCTTCAATGAGTTAGAGCTCATGCCCCTTTTATGGCTTTGCTGTTGATTTTGGATGGTAGAGAATATTCCTGAGAGCCTTCCTTTTGACCCCTAGCTTATCCCACCCACTCTCTTCTCTTGGTTGAATTCTCTGAAGGAAAAGTTCATGTGCTATTGTCCTGTTAGTCAATAGTCTTCACATATAATTGTGTTACATATATTGTTACAGACTCTCAGAAATCGGGGTAGAGCTTTTCCTTTGAGCAGTTTAATGAGTGAATTCAGCAGCAAAGTGGCAAGAAATGGTTCTCCAGCCAGGAGAGGTTATGTTTATCTTCCGATTGCCCATTTTCTCTGCACACAATAATATCGTATTCAGTGAGAGGTGCTGTTGGCACCCAGCAGCGCCCTGGGCACACAGCATTTCATGTCATGTCACAGTGTACAAGCTACCCTCTCTCATTTAGAAAGAAGAGCATTTTGCACAGAGAAAAAGTAAAAAGATCCATGAATGTCATTTTTTATCTTTTATTTTCAGTTGGCTGATGTTGGAATTTTTGTTCTTGTCATGAACTTGTAAACCAATCTTGCCAAGATACAAGTTGTTTTGGTTTTTCACTACGATGACCTCTTGTTCCTCCTGTCTTGACTGCTGATGTTTCCTCAATGATTCTATTGTCTATTTTATGGGAAGCAGCCTTCCTATAGGTTTCCTTTTACACACTGCAGGGCTATCTTTATACTTTAAAAAAAAAAAGGACAAGAACTGTCACTAACCTCATGGGGGGTTTTCGTAAAACCATTTAGCCCACCTTGAGCAAAGGGTAGATTCTGTGTTGTTTTTTTAAGCTCATTGTAATAAAATAAATCTAATTCAGCATTATTGTGCTACCTCAAAGGT